TAGAGCGCAGCTACCTATTCTTTAGATAGGCCGGATAATCTCTCTGTGCCTCAGTAGCCCCGTTTCTTAAGTGAGAATGATGATAGTAACTAATTCGCAGGATTGTGGTGATAAGTTAAACTGGATGATGCCATGTAAAGCATTTAGAATGGTCCCTGACCCATGGTAGGTGATCCAAAACTCCGCTATGCTAATATTAATTATTACACCATATTTGCCAGTTTCCTTCCTGGCTTTCCACAGTACAAACAAAAATCTTTAAATATATTAGTAAATCGTTGATTTCACCTTTTTTTTTTCTTTGTTCGGTCTTCTTTAAACAGCTATTATATATTGTAAAGTTTGATAAATCCATCATTAAAAAGTCACCTAATTGTTGGAGCGCCTGGGTGGCTCAGTCGGTTAAGCCTCTGACTCTGGATTTCAGCTCAGGTCATGATCTCACAGTTTGTGAGTTCGAGCCCCGCATTGGGTTCTGCGCTGACAGCACAGAGCCTGCTTGGGATTCTCTCTCTCTCCCTCTCTCTGTCCCTCCTCTTACTCTTTCTCTCTCTCCCTCAAAATGAATAAATAAACTTTTAAAAAAGTCACCTAACCATTAAAGGCACGAGCTTCCAGGTCTGAAAGCTATGGGTTCAAATTCGAATGCCCAACTTACTACTTATGTAACCTGAGAGTTTCTTTAACTTCCCCAAGCCCATTTCATCACTGGAACTACACTACCTATTTCACAGAGTTATTGTGAGGATTATAGGGGATAATATATGTACAGTGCCTAGCACATAGCAGGGACTTAATAAATGGCATCTATCCCTTCTCTATTTTATTTTATTTTATTTTATTATTTTATTTTTACAGAGAGAAATATCACATGAGAGCAGTGGGGAGAGGCAGAGGGAGAGGGGAGGAGGAGAAAGAGAGAGAATCTGCTCAGTGTGGAGCCCAACTTGAGGCTCGATCCCACGACCCTTGGGATCATGACTGTAGCCGAAATCAGGAGCTGGATGCTCAACTGACTGAGCCACCCAGGAGCCCCTATTCTTTTCCTTAATAGTTTCTAAATGCACAACAGACTTGTGTAGCGAGGAGATCCCCTTCATGTTTCACACAAGCCCCTCTAAGACCTGGCCTCTCATCCTTTTCCAGCCTAGACTCACACTATTCCATCTCTCATCTTGTTCTCTCACAACACTGACCTGCTTTATAATCCACACCCAGGCCCCAGCGTACATGCTGTCTTCACCACCAGGTCTCTGTTCTCTACTCTCTCCACTCAGGTTGCCCTTCCTTCCTTCCAGAGCTGACATCTTCTTCACCCTCCCGCAGCACCTGCTCCCACCACACACCAGGCCTCTGTCATCACTGCCCATTTGTACTGTTTTTGTCTCTTGACGTATCTGGTTTGCCAGATAGGCCATACCTTCTTTGGCGGCCTGGGCTGTGCCTTGTTTACCTTTGAATCTCCACTAACACCATACCTGGCACGGGGCAAGTGCAGAATAAGTGACTCTTGAATAAGTGACTCAGACTCCATCTGAGAAGGAGATGCACCTTATACTCCCTTTCTGCTCCACCCGTAAAGCCACCAGCTCCGTCTTGAAGTGGGGCCCCCTTCTGCTCACTGGGTTTATGCAAGAGTATTTTGCTGCTTGGAGTGTTTTCACCCAACACAATAAATGTGGACAAAGCAAGGCTTCACAGAGAGAAGCCAAGGGGGCCCTGCCCAGTCAGCCTTCCCCGTGGAGGTATACTATATGTCAATACAAGCTGGACTTGTATGCAAACACAGAGCAGCTTTCCGAACTCTATCGCTGAACTATCTAGATTTTTCTATACCTAAGTTATATTTGCTCTTGATCAGCCTGGATATAGTATGCAAAGCTGCACTGAATCATTAACAACAACTGATGAGAACAAAGACTACAACAAGGGAAATGTCAAGGGGACAAAATCTTGGGTTTAATGGTGCCAAATGCCAAGAAGGAAATACTTCCACCAGGGCCTCGTCCCAAGGTTATGCACAAAGATAAGAGGACTCAGGCAAGTATAGAAGTAAAAGGCCCCAGCAGTTCTCAGAACAACTTAAGTAAACATTTATGGAGCTAATACATTTTGTTATAATGTTTAACATAAAGTAATTATAAACAAGAGGGAAAATCATAAACACTAATTAAAAAACAATTCAGTAGGCTATAAGTCTGCACAACGCATATGAAATTTCATATTCTACTACCTCCTCTGGCTTTTACTCAAGAACATTAAAAAAAAAAAAAGACAAAGAAGAAGAAGAAAACGGGAAATTAACTTATCTTTTGAGAGACCAAACTGAATCCTCGGGAGTCTGTGAGAGCATAGGGACCATGCTCTCAGTCCTGCAGGTCTGCTCAGTGACCTCCAAACTGCCTCTTTCATCTCTGATCTTGGGATCATGTCGGGAACTATGGATACAGGTCGTTTCTGGTTTTCTGTCCCCTACAACAGAGAGAGGACTGCCCTCTCTCCATTTCCTTAAGACGTGGGGCTCCATAAAGATCCACAGGGCCAGGGCGCCTGGTCGTTCAGTGGGTTGAGCCTTCCACTCTTCGTTTCAGCCAGGTTTCGATCAATCGATAGATCTCGCGATTTCTCAGGAGAGTTTGAGCCCTGCCTGGGGCTCGAGGCTGACTGTGCAGAGCCTGCTTGGGATTCTCCCTTTCTGCCCCTCCCCCACTCGCGCTGTTTCTGTGTTTCAGGATAAACAAATAAACTTAAAAAAAAAATTTAAAAAGACCTACAGTGTCTTGGGACAGGAGTTATTCGGCCGCCCTTTGCTCCTAATCACAGGGCTGATGCTTGTGGCACCTAGAGGGAATTTCAAACGTATGGAACTACGTCAGTCTACAGGGACTCAGGCAAGAGAAGCGCCTCCAGAAGGAGGCTCTGGCCCCGACTGGTGTCCGGGTGTACAGCTTGGGCATGGGGGGTGGGGGGCTCCGCCTCGGTTTCCCTCCGGTTCTCAGAACGAATGCCCCGTGGATTCCACCAGGAGGCACCCCTGCAGGCTCCTCAAGTTTGAACTCTGGGACCACGAGGCAGGGACTGTCGATCCCGTCTTAAACACCAGGTGGCGGTAGATACTGCTCTATTGCCAGGGCCACGGGCTTGTGAAAAAAAGCGAGCGGAAGGGGGGTGGGGAGTGCTGACAAACTGAAATCCATCGGAGTTCTGTGTGAAAACTGAACATCGTGAGTATTTTGAATTTTTCTCAGGAGCCAATAATTAGTGAATCCTCCACATCTAACGTATTCCAATTCTCCAATCTTGAGACACCCTTAAAGTCTACCACTTGCCCACCCAGCACATCCCTACATCTTGCAAGCCTGGGGTATGACCCGAGGAACCAGCCTGCCTTGCTCTCCACGGATTTAACCTTTAACCTCTCCGAGGTTCTAGAATCACATTCTTCTCAGAACTTAGAATACCTCTGCCCGCAGTTTCAATCGACACAGCCCCAGTGCCCGCGAGCATTCCCTCACCACAGCTCTTGAAAGGGTGAGGACAGAAAGGACCCAAGTGGCAGGTGGGGATCAAACGGGGGGGTAGTAAGCTGGGAAAAGTAGGGGAGTAGGGGAAGATACTTTAGTGAGAAGAACAGAACTGCGGAGAAAGAAGGGGTGCTGAGGCGACGGACGCGCGGGGAAGACACAGCGGGGGAAATAAAGGGGGAAGAAAGAAAACGAGAGAAAAAGAGGAATGGGAGCGAAGGGGGGGGGGAAATGAGGAAATACAGAAACGGAGAAGAATAAGGAAAGAAAGAGGGGGCGGAAATGGGTAAAGAAAGAAAAACGGAAAAGAAAAAAAAACCTGAGAGAAAGTGAAAAGAGTGGGGAAAAAGCGCCGAGAGACGGACGGAAGGGCAAATTGAGAAGCGAGCCCAGAGGGGGTGAGGGGGCAAGGTCGCGGGAAGCCGGCCGGGGAGCGGGTATTCCCGGAAGCCCAGGCAGAGATCGCTTCACTTGGGGTTCAGGGAAGAGGGGCGAGAGCCACTGGGGAAAGGGGGAGAAGAGAAGTGAGAAGAAGGGGACAGAAACCGAGGCGAGTTTGAGCGCACTTCTGAGTTTCCTTCAAGGCTTTCACTGGGCGCTCGGTAGAGCGTGCCTGGCCCTCTCGGACTCTGTAGGGGCAACCGCTCTCTTTGCCGCGCCCCCCGCCTCCCCGCCCGAAACCGGCTTGTTGGGGGCGGCAGTTGAAAGCGGCCACGAGGCTGGCTCGCCGGGAGCGGCGGCGTCTCTCCTGCAGGGGGACCCGTCCTCTGTGGGACGCGCGCGGATCGTCTGCCCTCCCGCGGAGCTCTCGAGACCAGGGTGGTAGATTTCTTAACGGAGGATGCGTCCCGAGCGGCGAGAGAGCCCAAGCCCAGGCGCCGGGCGTGCGGACGCGGGGAGAGCCAGGCCGGGCTCCCGAGAGCGCGGGCGAGGGTGCGGGCGGCCGTGTGGGTGCGAGGGTGCGAGGGCCCTAGGGTGCGGAAGGGGGCGGCGGCGGGGGGTTGGGGGCAGAAGCCAGCCGGCCGCGGCGGCCAAGCGTTTTCCGCCGGCCCCCCTGGGGTAATTTACATGCTGTCACAGCCCCGTGCTGACTCCTGGGCGTGCGGCTCGCTCACTCGCTCTCTGGCTCACAGGCTCACTCGCTCTCGGCTCCTGCCACCGCTCAGCCGGCACAGCCCAGCGGAGCCGGAGAGCGGGAGAGCGGGAGAGCCGGCGAGCCGGGAAGGGAGGGAGCGAAGGAGGGAGGGAGCCAGGGCGCGCCCGGGCTCTCCCTCTGCCCTGCTGCCCGCCCTTCCTGCTGCCACAGGTCCGCCGAGCCCCGCTCACACTTGGGAAACTTGGGACTGCGCTAGGGCCTCGGTGGCACCTAGGGGGAGGGCATAGGGGGAGGGGGAGGAGGAGGAGGAGGAGGAAGAGGAGGAAGTGAGCCCGAAGGATCCGCTCAGAGCTGTTTGTCCAGCTGTTTGTATTCGCACCCGGAGCAGCACAGCCAGGAGGGGGCCGAACCGAGGGTGGCTGGCTTTAGGCGCTAATTTCCAACTCTTCTCGCAGCTTTTGTTTTCCATACGCCCTGGAGTCTCCTCAGACCAGCCTGGCGGGCGCGCACCTGCCAGCCGACCCTGACCTCGCAGGCCAAGCGGCCCCCGAGTCTGAGAAGATGGCCCAGTCCAAGACCGACTGCCGCTCACCTGTCGGTCTCGACTGCTGTAACTGCTGCCTGGACCTGGCCCACCGAAGCGGGCTCCAGAGCGACAGCAGCGGAGGGAATAACAGCCCGCGCAGCCCTACCGTGAGCAACTTTCGGCAGCTGCAGGAGAAGCTGGTCTTAGAGAACCTCAACACCGACAAGCTCAAGAGCATAATGCGGCAGGATTCGCTGGAGCCAGTGCTGCGGGACCCCTGCTACCTGATCAACGAGGGCATCTGCAACCGCAACATCGACCAGACCATGCTGTCCATCCTGCTCTTCTTCCACAGGTGGGTGGCTGGGCGTACGGATGGGCACGCGGGCCGGGCCAGCGCCAGCCTCTGCTGGACCCTCACCTCTGACATATGGCGCGACCGGGAAGTTCACGAGGGGTGGGGGGTGGGTGGGGCGGGGCGACCGGACTCCGACGCGGATGCTACCTGGAGTCCCTTGGGGCTGAGGGGTGGCAGGTGGGAGCCCGATCTTGAAAGGTGCCCGCAGGAGACTTTGCCAGGGAAATGCCTGAGTCCAGAAGGTGGACAAAGCCCTAGATCGGTTGGGGGATAGCTGGTGGCACCCCTCCTCAAATGCATACATTTCCACTGCCACTTTGGCGATTCTGCCCCGGGATGCTCTTGGGATCTGAGTTCTACCCTACCTACATCTCAAAATATGTAAACTCAGATTGAAATTGCAAGGGCTTTTAAATTACCGAGTGGCTCTGGCTGACCGAGAGGGCAAGCAAAATGCCAAGACAAATTAAGCTCGCTGCTGGTGAGGCGGGAGGGTGGAGAACAAGAAAAATTAGAGATGTGTGAGAATTTTTTGACACTCTGGATGGGGGTACCTCCATCTCCTCTATGGATCACAGCCTTCAGTTTCCAGTGATGGGTAAAAGCAGCCCCAGAGAGCATCCTAGGACCAGTTGGGTGGATGAACCCATATCTTCGCAGGCCTGTGTAGCAGTGTGGGGCATACTTTCTAGAAATCCTACTGAAGGGCAAGGAAGGGAGGAGGAGGGGAGAAACACAATGGGAAGATCCAAGGTGGCCGCTGTCCTCCAGTCTGAGACACTCTGGTAAGAGCCAGTCTTTAGCGGGGTGACAACTGAAGCAGGAAACCCAGCCTTGGGTCTGGTGTTCTCAGAACCATCGGGATGGGACACTGGTGTGTGCGCGCGCATGTGTATAGGGGTGGATCTTGTTCTCTCTCAACAACAAAGGTTATATTAAGAGAAAGAAAACCCCGCAGAGAGAGACCCGGGTTATGGTACAAATTATGGCTCTACTTCGTTCGGTGTGTGAACCTGGGCAAGTTCCCTGATCTCTCGGCCTCTTAAGGTTCCTTGTAGTTCTGAAATTCCAGATCATGGGCTGGTGGTGTGATAAATAAGGTAATAAGAAATTTTGAGCACCCACACAATATTTGAATCATTGGGCAACTTTTCAGTGAAGCACACACAGGAAATTTTACAAGCAATTACGATTGCTAGGAACTGCCCTCACTCAATGCTACGACCGGGTTTGCCTCCTAGGCCCCGATATTCCAGGAGGGGACAAAGCAGGGCTGCGAAGTTCGTTAAGCATTATCATGACAAGTTGTATTTCTCAGGCGTTTTCCGTGCCTTCAGTGCCCTTTCTCATTTATTGTTTCACATTACGCATCAGTTTATCTCCTTGTCTCGAAGAAACCAGGCCACACGTGAAACAGGTTTCAAGGGAATCTTCCATTTCTGGCCAAAGATTACTAAGAGTGTATTCACACCACAGACAGACTCTGCATCCCTGCTGAGCTAAAGCCCTCCGCTCTCCGCTCTCTTGTAGGAGATTGGTGGCGGCGGGGGAGGGGTGGCAGAAACACCTGGAAAGAGCGCCTGTAGCATTTGTACTCTTTCAACTGGGAGAGAAACTGCCCCAAAATGGCCTTGCGGATCTGTAAGGGGCAAAGCTTCCTCAGCTCTGGTTCGAGGTGCAGGGCCTAGGAGGGTCGGACCTACGTGCATGAGGTGTGAGGCTGAGAGCCTGAGATCAACATGTTGGCTTGTGCCATACCTTGCGATGCTTTCTGGTTATCTGGGTTTCTCGAATGGAGAAACCTCCTTTGTCACCTACTCCACTGACACCTTTCTGTTGACTCTTGGTTCTTGGCAAAGCCTGGAAATATTATGGGTTGAGGGTATGGGTGGAGGGAGCAGGGCAAATTGTTGAGAAGGTGTACCTGAGTACCCTGCCTTCTGGAATCAGAGCAACTGAGTGTCCCAAACAGCTGAGCAGCAAACTAGCAAGCCCTCGGGTAACAGCCCCGTAGTTCCAGCAGAACAAAGCATTATCTCATTTTCCTTGACCTTTCCTGGGACCTCAGAGATTGGAGATTCTGAGTTTGGTTTAGCTTCTGCCCAGAATGACATGCTCGTTAGCAAAGTAGGAGACCATTATTGCTGGTCATGGGACTTCTCCAGTATCTGAGCTGGCCAGCCTTCTCCAAAGTGAGAATTTTGTCTTTTCTTACTTCATTTATTCCCAGGGCTTCGGTCTTCAAAACTCAGTCATACTTTTTAGTTCCGTTTCGTTTAACGATCTAATGTTTCGAGTGCCGTCATTTTTACTTCTGTTCCATTTAATGATTTGATATTTCAAATTCCTGCTTGGGTGTCTTTTTTTCCTTTAATTTGTCTGCTTTCAAGCCTGCCTCTTCTCCTGGGAAAGCGACTCCCCTGCCTCTTCTGTAGCCCCATTCTCCTGCCGCAAGGGCCCCTATATTCTAGGGAGGAAGGGCAGGGCACATTCTTCATTTCTATCTGCTTTGCCTGCTTTGATCTGTCCCTGGCTCCGGGCTTAGCTCTTGGTATCCTTGGAACACAAGGGTATAAGCAATTTGAGGGCAGGGCTGCATTTTACACTCACTTGGTTTTCCCTTGGCTTCCTGTTATACACCCAGCGTTCATAACTGTTGTTTGTTGTGGTGGTGGTGGTGTTGTTTTTATCAGATGACTGCGTAATTATTGGTGTGGTCTTATGTAAATATTTTACAATTTTTACCTAGTCTTTGGAAAAACACTTATTAATATTTAAGTGTGATAGCCTGGTAGAAGTCCCAGTGGACCATGCTGTGTATATACGAACGAGTGGTAATAGGCATGCAGCTTCTTGGTATGTAAAGTTGCCTCTAAAATATTGGGGACATGGAGGGTGCCTAGATGGCTACGTTGGTTAAGTATCTGACTCAATTTCAGCTCAGGTCATAATCTCATGGTTCATGAGTTCGAGTGCCAAGTCAGGCTCTGCGCTGGCAGACCAGAGCCTGCTCGGAATTCTGTCTCTCTCTCTGCCCCTCCTCCACTTGTGCTGTCTCTGTCTCTCTCGGGATAAACTTTAAAAAAATATATTGGGTGGGGGGAAGATGTATTTTAAATACCATTCCTTCAGGGGCGCCTGGGTGGCTCAGTCGGTTAAGCGTCTGACTTAGGCTCAGATCATGATCTCACAGTTCGTGGGTTCGAGCCCCGCGTCGGGCTCTGTGCTGACTGCCAGCTCAGAGCCTAGAGCCAGTTTCAGATTCTGTATCCCCTCTCTCTCTGACCCTCTCCTGCTCACGCTCTCTCTCTCAGAAATAAATAAAACAAACAAATAAATAAATAAATACCATCCCTTCAATCTTGTGTTAGATAACTAACAACTATAATTAATAGCTAACATTGATTAAGCATTTACAATATATACTAATCTCATTTAATACTTACAGCAACAACCCAATGAAATGGGTACTGTTATCACCCTTCTTGATTTTTAACAAAGGAAATTGAGGCTTAGGAAAATTAAGTAACTTGCCTGATGCCTCACAACAAAGAGCAAAGCCGAAAGTTCACCTAAGATCAATCAGACACTAAAGAATTGTCTGTGGGGGCTTCTGGGTGGCTCAGTGTGTTAAGCGTCAGACTTCAGCTCAGGTCATGATCTTGCAGTTTGTGAGTTCAAGCCCGGTGTTGGGCTCTGTGCTGACAGCTCAGGGCCTGGAGCGTGCTTCAGATTCTGTGTCTCGCTCTCTCTCTGCCCCTTCCCTGCTCACACTCTGTCTCTCTGTCTCTGTCTCAAAAATAAATATTAAACAATTTTAAAAAATATTTTTATTTATTTCTAGGAGAGAGAGAGAGAGAGACAGCGTGAGCAGGGGAGGGTCAGAGAGAGAGGGAGACACAGACTCTGAAATAGGCTCCAGGCTCTGAGCTGGCAGTCAGCACAGAGCCTGACGCGGGGCTCGAACCCACGGACCGCGAGATCATGACCTAAGCGAAAGTCGGACGCTTAACCGACTAAGCCACCCAGGCGCCCCTAAACAATTTTTTTTAATTAAAAAAAAGAATTGTCTGTGAAGAAAGAATTGTTAAGCAGTGGTAAATATTAGCCCAGAAACTAATCAACTGGTTAAAATGTCCTTACTAGGTACTAGGTAGGTGACCAACCCTCCAGTTTGGAGAAGCAAGACTTTCAATACTTAAATAAGGATAGTCCCAGGGAAACGGGGATGGTCAGTCACCCTTTCATTAAGGTACTCTGCCGTATCATTTGAATGTGCTTCTAAAACTGGAAAACTAAGGAGGCAGGTAGAACATACTGGACAAGCAGCTAAAATTTCCAATTTAAATATAGCCTATGAAGGTTGGCTGGCTGGCTCAGTCGGTAGAGGAGGCGACTCTTGATCTCAGGGTCATGCGTTCAAGCCCCACGTTGGGCATGGAGCCTACTTTAAAAAATTGTAAATGGGGTGCCTGGATGGCTCAGTCAGTTGAACGTCTGACATGGGCTCAGGTCATGGTCTTGCGGGTTCGTGAGTTTGAGTCCCACATCGCGCTCCATACTGACAGCTCAGAGCCTGAATCTGCTTCGGATTCTGTGTCTCTGTCTCTCTCTGCTTCTCTCCCGCTCACACATTCTCTCACTCTCAAAAATAAATAAACGTTAAAAAATTGTAGTTAAAACGCAATAAAATAAATGTAGCCTGTGAAAAAAAACTTGCAAAGTTGATACTTGAGGGGCCTTAACTGTCTGATCAGTAAGGTGTAGTGAGCTAGTGTGAGAGCTTTTGCCATATTCTGTTATTGTTGTTGTTATAACCTCAAATTTATTTCTAAGATTTTATACAAAGCTTCTTAATCGGCTGTTCTGCCTTTGGCCCCCAAGCACACTTGCCCAGTGTGGTCTGAGATACTCGGAATGAGTTTGCTTCCAGTTCTAAAAGCCCTAGGAGTCTACCTTTAAGCTTCTAGCTGGCAACAACTAGTTCCCATACTTAG